GCGAGAAGCTGCGCGAACCGCATTTCCAGCTTTTGTATGATCCCTGATGATCCCCGACGCTTTTCTTTGAAGTCATTTTTCTTTCTCCGAAGTTAACGAAAAACCTCCAAAGTTGTGATTATCCAACCCGACAGTGCTAAGCATGTTCGTGGTAAGAACAAATGATCTTTTGAAGTCATGAAATCTTCGATGATCCACAGGTCGAAATTTGAGGTTTACCGAAAAATTCGACTTTTCAAAAACTCATTTGTTCTCATCAGCAACATGCCTAGCACTGTTGTGTTAGATGTTCAGTTCAGCTTTGGAAAGTTTTCTTTAACTTCGGAGAAAGAAAAATGACTTTCAAGAAAAGCGCCGGGGATCATCAGGGATTATACAAAAGCTGAAAAATGCGGTTTGTACAGCTTCTCGCTCCTATGTTCATAGTGAAGGGTAGTAGGAATACTTACGGATAGATACACAACGTGAAATCCAGGTATCTGGATTTTCGAAATATAGAGCTTTCTTTTAAAGCTGCGATCCCCTCCCCGCGTGGATGTTAGTGCATGCGGCCCTAAGAAGCTTCATATCCTGACGCTCCACATGTCTGGAATTCACGCTGTCTCTCTATCCGTATATAGTCTTACTATCCTTCTCTATAAACATAAACATAAGCGAGAAGTTGTATGGGCTGTTCGTAGCACGCAAAGACCGCGGACGTATCAGGTTCTCTCCGATCGAGCCCTCTTTCGTTTCTCTTACCATCAGCTGTCTCTCCCATACACGACCTATCTCGGCTGGACGCAACGTGCCCAGTCTTTGCATGCCATGGATTGTGCATACAAGCCACATTTTTCAGCTTTTTTGTGTGATCCCATGATGATCCCCGGCGGCTGACCATCTTTTCTTCATTTTTCTAGTCATTTTTCTATTTTCAAAGTTAACGAAAACATGCCAAAGTTGTAATGGTTAGCTAGTGCTAAGCATATTTCTGATTAAAAAAAACAAGTGTAGCGAAGTAATGAAAATTGCCATGAGCTACTATTCGAAAGCTGGGGTTCATTGAAAATTTCGGTATTTCAGTAAGACATTTGTTCTTATCAGAAATATGTTTAACACTTGCTGACTTACATGGGAAGGATACAGGGATGTGTGGCCATTCATGGTGATTCACATACCGTTGTGCTAGTCTTGAAACGAGTAACTCATATCTGTGTTCTCCATATCTGCAAAACGGTCACTAGTGCAAACTTATGAGCATTTTTTCCCATGGGACCAGAGCGTGGCACTCACTGAACACGATTCGAGGCATACCTTCTCTGTGTAGCCAGTGGCCAAGCGGTTAGTGGGTTGGACTCTCTGGCACAACCTATGCTCCGAGTTCTATTGCATGCACTGTTTTTGCATTTGCACCAAATTACTTTTTCTTGCGAATAATTCAGTTCTAAGCTTTTAGCATGCAGACTCTCATCAAATAATGTAGAAAAGTATAGAATTATACAGTATATAATGGTACTGTGATACTGTGCAATACGTGGGAAAAGTCTTGTTTCAATATGTACTGCTGGTACAGACTGGTACGGTTAGGTATCTTTGCATCAATCGACAATCTGACAAGCTCTCGAATCAAGCGGGTTTCAAAAGTAAAATGTTTGCCCCAAGCTTGTCTTGCCGTGTCTACTAAAGGAGTTTGGCTCCTGTGAAGTGACTCGGAGATCTATAAGGGATGAGGCGAAGTAATGCATCCCTTCGCAGCAATTCTGCGCGAAGCGGTATACGGCAACCTAAATGTTGCCAGCGATGAGGATGATACTATGGATGAGTATGTCTCGGACTCGTCCCGGTCTGCAGAAGACAGTGATGGCGAGGGTCTTGACGCAAAAGAGCCCATCCGTTTTGGCGAAGTGGATGTAACAGAGGACATGGTATAAATGAACATTTGTGCTGGAATACTTTATGAAATAAATATTCTGAGGTGAATAAAGCGATGGAATTCTATCGACGGACAAAGGAAGTCTTTTTTCGTGTATGAAGAATAAATTTCGGTTTATTACGAAAGAAAACCACTTGAAAAATCAGGACAGATAGAGCTAAATGGGTGTGTCTGGAACTTTGATAAGAACTTTTAATATCGAAATTGAGCATTAGCATATCCAAGACGGCAACGGAATAACAACAACGATGAAGAAACTGTTGTGGAGTTGAACTGCGCATCAGTGGAATGAGGAAGGAAAAAGCACGGAAGATGAAAAGTGTAGTTGAATGCACATAGCGTAGTGAAAATCTGATGATTTTGCATCCTTATAATAACAAAGGCGGTCAGCGGCGACTACAGGCTGGTGGCAACGGCTGCCTGCGCGCAGAAAGTCACCCTATCTCTGACATCCAGTCTAGGTTCCCCATATCAATTCTATTACATAAATGATGATCAGGGTTCGAGTAATAGGCGTGGTATACAACCGCCGTATACGACCCCCCCCCCCCGCATTTTCGTTAGCCTACCGTAAACGTGACATAAGGCTCTACCAAGCATAATCAGTAACATTGTGACTATCATGTCAGATAACCCCTGTGGGCCAAGATTTAGCGAATTCGGAGGGTTCCCAATACTGGGCTATCCAAGTGAACTCGCATTTTCAAACATGGTTAACCATATTCCAACTTGAAATAGCTGGGTCTTTTTGTAATTGATACAAAGCACTACTTCCCATTGCCCATACCAAAAATCCTGCTTCAAATAGCCATCAAACTATGGAATTGGGAGCCAGCCATGATCTCGTTTGTCACAATTTTCGCTTGCAGTAGTTGTGCTTCTTGTGATTATTGTTCAAACAAGAGAGGACGAAGTCAGCTCTAATCACTTCCACAAAAAAGCTACTGTGGCTGCCACACTTTTTTAGGGTTGTTTCAGACTGCCGCACTGACCGCAGCAGACTGCAGCAGTCCGCACTGACCGCAGCTGACTGCAGCAGACTGCAGCAGACTGCTGCTGACCGCACTTACCGCAACGGCCGCGCCGATCCCTGCATTCTTTTTGGAAGAAAACAACCGCGGTTACGTCAAAACACCGTAATTTACGCCCAAGGAGATCATAGGTTCTGATTTCACTCTTCTCAGTCAAACTTTGGCGAGCGTTTTTCTGCTAGTGTGGTTAGCGGTTAGTGCGGTCAGCTGCATTCAGCTGCAGTCTGCTGCAGTTTGCTGCAGTCAGCTGCGGTCAGTGCAGTCTGCTGCAGTCTGCTGCAGTCCGCTGCAGTCTGCTGCAGTCTGCTGCGGTCAGCGCGGCAGTCTGAAACAACCCTTAGGGGTTGCGCCAGACTCTATCAACTTACTTGCACATCATTAATAAATTTACGTTTTTTATATCTTTGCTACTGCCTTACCTTATTCTTTACGTAGGAGAAGTCTAATTTGAAATCATTTCTTCTAGAAAAAGATATAGTGGTATAGTCGTTTTTTTACCTGCGCAAAGGGAAGATACTGCGAAAATAATGGATTACTTTGAGTTGCTAAAGTTGCCCTATTGTATGATTGCGAGGATAGGAGAAGAAAGCGAATAAAAAACAAAGGAGATTCTGTCTTGCTCCTAATTCTTAGTGTGGAGGTTATTGAAGAAAAATTTCGAAAGTGAGCAAAATATTAGTACCTCTTTGTTTTGACTGCAAAAAGAGTAGTCAACTCACTTCTCGAACAAAGGTAGCTCGTTTGCAAATTACGATCTCATTTGGATGGTCCAATATTTGGAAATCTCAGAGTTCGCTGAAACTTTTCGCACAGAGATTATTTGATATGCTAACTACGGAATTATGCTCTTATGCTTTACGGCTCTTTTATTATGTTTACTAGCTGGCTTACCCAGCTCCGCCCGGCCCTAATAAAAACGATAAAGGTTTCATTCTTATTCCTGTACAACCTTTCCCTGTGCACACTTCTACATGCAATTCCCTATTCCAACTGTGTGAGTAATCAGTATGCTCACCTACCGCTTTCACCAACTTCCCAGCCCCGTAGCTCAAACTTTGCAAAAATCAATAAAATCGAGAAAAATAATGGGTAATCTTAAAAACTAAGGCGCTATTCGGCTATCCGGGCCCCAAAAAGTTTTTGTGACGGATCTTGCTCAAACTCGGTATATGGGGGTATTTGAGCCGCTGATGACAAATATCGTTGTCATCGCGTGGCAGCGGGTAAAAGTCATAAATCTGCCTGAAACCTTGGCGAGGAATTACATAAAGTGCTGTTTCAAGAATACCGTGCTCAATCCCCACGATAAAGGCAATTCGTATGGTATAAAAGTTTCCCACAACCGTAATGCATTTCTTATAGGACCGCTGCCGCGAGCGATACACCCTTCGGCGCTTTTGCCTAAGCAAAAACAGGGGGAGGGAGATTTGCCGCGTGCGTTACTCGTTGGGAGGCTATGGATGGCGCTGGAGACCGCCATGCAAAACGACGTTTCCCCATTTTGTGAGTTTCTGGGATCTAGATTGGCCCGAAAGCGTGTGACATGTGTAATCAGCATGTGAGATATCCCTTATACACGAAGCTTGAGCAAGCTCTACGACAAAAAAATTTCGGGGCCCGGATAGCTAGCCGGATAGCGCCAAACTAATATTGTACTCGTAATCAGCATGCTCGATTACCCCCGCGTGCCAACTCCTAGCCCCGTGGGTCAAATTTTGCAAAAAATCGATAAAAATCGATAAAATCGATATCGATCGATGACGAAAAGTAGCCTATAACACCCGGTCCCGAAGTGTATATGTGCCAAGTTTGGTCCGGATCAGTCCAGATATAAAAATTCGCACGGGAGAGGCTTGGACTCTATTTCTGTTTGTCTGACCACACAAACAGAGATAGAGCCCAAGCGTAACCACGTCTATGAAGTAGAAGCCGCGCGCCTTAGAGGACTCCGATGGGACGCACGCGATTTGGGTTCAGTTTATATTGCCAGGGCAGTGCCCCCCAGCCGGCAAAGACCGGTGCAGCGCCCAAGGCAACCACCAACGCAATCCCCCAGGATGGCAGAAGCGAAGGGACTGCGAGGGAAGATGGCGGACGTCATGGCATGCCTGGTTGTAGACGGCGAATACTCTGTCGTCGACGAACAACGCCCCCTGAATGTGATTAATTCGAGCAAGTCCTCCAACAATGTAAACCGCCCACAGTCGCCCGAAGCACATCCTGCTGCCCGCAAGAGGTGAGCTGGTAAAAGTTGTTTTCATCACTGCAACGTATCATTTACACGAGGCCTCCTACGCGACCGATGGTGACCAACGAAGAAAACTTTGTACCAAAACGCAGGTAAGATCTGAACTTTTTGTTGTCTTACGATCTCATCTCATCGCTATTGTTATAGATACGCTCCACCGCCACCACAACCTACTACAAAGGCACAAGTTGAGCCGGACACCCAGCCAACTACCAGTTCAAGCATTGATTCACTGGAACCTACCTTCGGTCAATTTATGCGCATGATGACCGAATAAGTGAAACGTGAAGCGAAAAAGAATTTAAGGAGAGCGGCACCGACGCAAAGAAGAAGACCGAGGACGTCGCCAACCTTTCCCGGCCGGGGCACGCGCTCCAGGCGGGGCCGTCAGGAAGAAGAGCCACAGTCGGTACCTCGAATCGGTCACTGCTGCTCCTGCAGACCGGCGGAGCGGCCACTACTCCACAGCCATTGCAGGCTGCGAGGACACTGCTGCTCCGCGACAAGCAGGGCGGTACTTACCGCTGCCTAGATGGCAGCGCCTCTAACCCAGCCGGAAAAGACTGGTGCATGTCTAAGGCAAACCTCACCGCTCTTTTAAAAATCAGCGTACTCGACTACTCCGTGTGTCAACTCCCAGCCCTGTAGCTCAAACTTGGCAAGAAAAATCGGTAAAATCGATAAAGTAATGGTAATTTCAAAAACTAATATTGTATTCGTGATCAGCATGCTCGATTACCCCCTTGTGCCAACTCCTAGCCCTGTGGCTCAAACTTTGCAAAAAAATCGATAAAATCGATAAAAGCAGTAGACGATTTTAAAAACTAATAGCTGGCTTTCCCGGCTCCGCCCGGCCCTGTCAAAAACGATAAAGGTTCCATTTCTATCTCTATACACCTATACCTTCTACATGCAATTCCCTATTCCCGCTGTGTGAGTGATCAGTATGCCTACCTTCCTCACCAACCCCCCCCCCTCAGCCCCGTAGCTCAGACTCTGCTAAAAAAACAATAACTTCGATAAAAGTAAGATAATTCTAAAAACTGTCGACATTTTTCGGTTATCCGGGCCCTAAAATGTTTTTGTGGTGTGTCTTGCTCAAACTCGGTATATGGAGGTTATTCAAGCCGCTGATGACGAATATGGTAGTCATTTCGCGCGGCAGCGGGTAAAAGTCATGAACCTGCCTGAAACCTTAACGAGGAATTACCTAAAGTGCTGTTTAAAGAACATCGTGTTTGATCCCCATGATAATGACAATTCGTATAGTATAAAAGATTCCCACAACTGTAATGCCCTCCTTACAGGACCACTGCCGCGCGCGACACACCCTTCGGCGGCTTTTGCCCAAGCAAAAACAGAGGGAGGGAGATTTGCCGCGTGCGTTACACATTGGGACAGGTTATCGGGATGGCGCTGGAGACCGTCATGCAAAACAACCATTTCCCCATTTCGTGAATATCTGGGATCTAAATTGGCCCGAAAGCGAAAAATGCCCATTCAAACCCTGCAACTCACCATAACTTCACTAATGCGTTATGACAGCGAGCAAGCATCATATTCATAAGCAGTATACTTGAGAACCGTTACAGGCAAGGTTTCGAGCAAATCTGGAGCTTCGACCTATAGCCCACCGTAGCCCAAGAAAATGCCACATCCTGCGAAATCAGCGTGATATTCATGTTCATCGCGCTAAATGACCACCCCCCTAGACGAAGTTTGAAACAAATCTATGTTTTCGATCCCATGCCGTATAACCCCCATAACTCTATGATAAGGACCCAATATGCGGAGAGATGAAAATCGTAATCAACATGTCGAATAAGTTTTCTGAACCGAATTCCAGCTAAATTCATGATTTTGACTTCCTACGTACACCTACCGTAAACACACGAAGAGACGATCTGCGGAGAAAGTGTGATAACTGTAATCAGCATGTATAACCCTTATACACAAAGTTTGAGCAAGCTCTACGACAAAAAAATATTGGGGCCCAAATAGCCGAATAGCGCCAAACTAATATTGTACTCGTAATCAGCATGCTCGATTACCCCCTTGTGCCAACTCCCAGCCCCGTAGTTCAAACTTTGCGAAAAGTTCGATAAAATCAATACCGATTGATGACGAAAAGTAGCCTATGACATCCGCCGGGGCCCGAAGTGTATGTGTGCCAAGTTTGGTCCGGATCGGTTCAGAAATGAAAATTTCTATTCGGAACATACGTGCATACAGACAGACAGGCATACATACATACAGACAAACAGACATTCAGCTTTATACGGGGTGTCCCAAAAGTATGTATGCACTGTTTGATCGTTAATATCTTTCTTCCCAAGAAGTCTTTCGCCTTGCTCTAGTTACCATTTTGTAGAGCTGGCTTCAACTTAGAGTTACAGCATGGAGAGAATTACCGACCCTCTTCGTTACTGTAGGATTACGGTGGGAACTTGAAACATATGGCGTCATTGTGGAAAAAGCTGCCAATTCAAAATTTAAAAAAAATGTGAAAACTTGTGTAATAGGGTTTTTGTGGACGCTGAGTTCAGTACTCAACTATTCACAAGATTAAGATTACGAAGCTTCCTAAACGGTGTAACCACTTTTTAGGAACATTGAAAAAATGGCCGCTACCTCTTACCTGGCATAATTCTTCAATGAATCAACATAATAAGTTGGGAACTTTACAGTTGAAATTGGCTCTAATTAGCCTAGCGTTGAAGCTTTCAGGGTGTTTTGTTTCCTTTCTGAGGTAAAATAAGGTATAATAACAATTTTTATGTAAGATACGCAACACCATCACTCAGACAATCGCCGCGGGCAGGCGGACCGCAAACTCGCGTTTTTCTGCAGGCGGTCAGCAGAATTCTGGGGCGTGGCCAAACCTTCAACCGCTGGTAATTCCTTCACTGTCGCATATTCTGCCAGCGGGCAACAATACAGATTTTCTGCAGGCACTCGGCAAATAGTTTCTTTCAGCGAGCGCTCGGGCTCTTTTAACGCAGTTTGGAGCGTACGCCGAGCAAAGGTGAAATTGTATGTGGCAGAGATGTCATGGTTGGTTTAATTACCCTAGTGTGAGGTATCTTCTATGCGAAGGAAGGTACCTACGGGGTGCGCGATCCTTCACAAAAGACTGTGCGGCCCTCAATGATTTTGCATATTCTCGCGGAAGGTCCGCGAGGAATGCGGCCACTGCGCCGCAACTAAATTATGAAAAAACCGCAATCGTTCTTCAAGCATTCTTCTGAAACTTCGCCAAATCTTCCAAAATCTGCAAATGGACCGCAAGAAATCAGCTAACTATTTTTGCGGTGCCCGCTTACCCGAAAATCGCATGGCCGCCTGCTCCCGGCAATTATCTGCGTAGTTCGACTTCAGACCTTAGCGAGAAAACTCAAGGCAGCCGTTGCGTCAAAATTCGAGCTAGGGCAAGCCCTCATGACAATAATCTACATCTTATGGCCTTGAAAACTGATAGAGAAGAGTTGCATATCAGCAACTTCAAAATAGTCACAGATGGATCCAGGAATTTATGAAACGCAGTGGGATTGTCTTAAGGGGCGTGACCACCTTTACATCTAGAAAAAACTTCCCAAATCGCGATCGTCTTGTCGCTGAAGCCGAAACATTTGTACACGCATTACGAAGGAATGAAAGACTGTGAACTGTTGAAACATTTCAAAAATTTCAGTTTTCTTCTAGAGATGGATCGCTGGTCTGCAGTGTGCAACGTTGACCAAAGTGCTCGGACAATGGCCGGGGGCAGGCGGTCGGCAAATTTGCGATTGCAGTGGCGGTTGGCAGAATTTTGGGGCGTGGCCAAACCTTCAACGTACTTAGTTTACTGTCTAATGTCCTGCCAGCGGGCAGCATACAGAGTTTTCTGTAGGCGCTCGGCAAATAATTTCTTTGCGCTGGCCAAATTTTCAGCAAGCGCGCGGACCCCCCTTTTTACGTAGTTTCGTGCGTACGCTAAGCTAAGGTAATACTCTACCTGGCAGAGGTGCCACCGATGGTTTAATTACAGGAGTTTGGGCCACATTCTCTCAACGATATGTGCCACGGGCTGTGCGGTTTTTCACAAAGGACCGCGCGGCCTTCGATAATTTTGCATATTCTCGCAGAAAGTTCGCGAGAATATGGCCACTGCACCGCAACTAATCTATGAAAAAAGCGCCATTGTTTCAAAAGTTTTCGTCCAGGAGTTGCCAACATTCTTCCAAATATTAGGTTGGCACATAAGTTTTGCAACTTTTCCCGTAACTTTTTTCCTATTTTATGTAGCGATCTCATTTTGTGGCATCATGTAGAACGTAATGTAAGCTGCAAGCTGCCAGACCGTTTGATTTTTGATAACGTAGTACAAAAAATCTAAGCAATGAAGAAGCAATTATAGGCAGCATGTAGCTGGAAGTTGGCACATTGGGATCAGTAAAAAAGAAATGAAATTTAAACACAAATTAAGGTGGGGCGCCTTTGAGAAGTTGAACAAGTCAAATGCGTCAAATTTTGAAGGCAATTTGTCAATAACTAAGCTGCGAAAAGTCAGAATTCGCTATAACTTTGCACTATGGGGTAATCCCATGCGGTAAACACGAATATCATATTCATTTGTCGCTAAAATGAAATTCATCTTTTGATCTCACGAACGAGGCCCATACCTTCGATACATAGAGCCATGTACTCTGGTAACCTTTACTTTGAGCGTCATGATAGACCACAACCTGCACCTGGGGAGAAGTACAAAAGTCATCCGGGGCGAAGCCCCGGAAATTATGACATAACTAGTGACATAACCGTATAGGGATGAATTTAAATGAGGCAAATATAGCAGTGACATTCAAAAGAAGCTCAAAAAAATTGAAGGATTGCGTTTTTATGGCCTTTTTTGTTGAGAAGAAGGTTTTTATTTGAAAATTCAATCAAAAACTAGGGCAAAATTTCTCATTTAACCTTTCTCTGAACTGCGGTTGAATGTTGGAAGTTCATTAAAGCCGCTAGAGTTCAATAAAAACGAAAAACTGCGCTCAAATCTTGCGCAAAGAGTCGCCATATGAATGCTGGTCTATCTCGTTATGGGATTTTCAAGACCCGCGACGTTGTCAGTGCTCCTGACCGTCTCATGAGGATCACAACGATATATAATTTTGCAGGGTTTCGTTGAGACCCTGCGAAGATCCACGACCAGAGCCAAATGCCCCGTCGGCTCTGGTCCGTCTCCGCTGCTCGTCTGCGTCTCCGCGCGCTGCGCGCTACCTCGCTACCTCAAATGCGGGGCGCGGGGCATTTGGCTCTGGTACCCTTTTCTTCGTTGTTCGAAGCCCAATTTCGATAATCTATATATCATATTAAAGCTCTTGATCTCTATTTTCACGCTGACAACGTCGCGGAACTTCTTTTTAGGATTTAAACGAGAAATCCTCGAAAAACGGCGTTTTCGAAAACCTCTTGTTTTTTCTTCAGTTTAACTTTTTTCACTCGGGTTTTTTGTGCATTCGATAGGTCTTGTTTCTGTCTATGATGTAGACAACGTCGCCGAGCTTACTTC